CTATAATTTGAGTGAATAAAAAAAATTCAATTATATTTATATATTAATTTTTCCGTGTTAATTTATTCAACCCATTACTGTTGCAACTGTTGCAATGAATTGCAATTTTTTTTTTCATGTTTGGAGGGAAATTCTCCTTGCTCCAAATCTTTGACTTTCAATAACAGCCTGTATCACACTGCACAATGCATAATGACATCTGCATGGATATAAATAATATGGATATTGCAAATAAGGTGTTTACATCACCCAGAATTGTGATTAATACAAGAACATACCAACAATCTAATTCAGATTTCTTGTAAACAAAATCGTATTTCTTGTAATCAGATTAACATGCTAACAATCATATTCCAATCTTAAGAAGAATGTTCTTGAGCGTATAAACACTGTCAACTGACAACTGTACTGCTTTAGAGAACACAGCCCTTTCCAAAGATGTACCTATTATTATCTAAATTAAAAAAAATAAATGAAAAAAAAACACTGCATCAATATTTGCCCTAAGTGCTGCTCCATATGTATAACAAACAATCTTTACACCGACAAACCACGTGTGCAAAGTGCAAACATATTTAACTGTCCTCTGAAACATGATCATTCCACTCTGCTTTGATTTGATTCATTATAAGCCCGTGCTCGGTGTACTCTGCCTGTTTGCTGTGGGCAAGTGCAAGACTTCTTCCCCTGACCATTCAGACCCCTTCCACTCGACATGCATGGCTGTGATGGATAAGATTTCATTAGGTTCTGAACAGTGAAATTCTGTCGCCGAATTCTAACGCAAAATCACCTGTGCGTGAGGAAAAATCTAAACCATTAGCGAACATTTCTATTTACACACCTTAAACGTTAAATAACAACGGCTACAGGCAGCAACGAGCTGCAATTCATGCCCTACGGCTATGGAGACTTTTAAAGCGAAAGGATAAGCCCATATGACAGACATACAATTACAGGACTAGTACAATCACACGATTCCATTGGTGTGTATTATACATTCGGTTTACGAATAGGAAATTAACTGTCACATACCGCATACACATGGTTATCAGCCAAGCCAAGTGGAAGCGACAGAAATGGCATGACCGTAGAGGCAACATTTTTAAAACGGAGTACTATGAACATATACTATCTATAGGCTACTATCAATATGGGCGGTGCATTGGCAACAACAGAGGTCCAAATGTATTCTACCAAAAATAAAGGAAGCAATAAAAGAGGAAAGTAAGCGTAAACAGCCTTTAAAATTTCGATTTAAGGAAAGAAACCGGTCGAGCAAGTGCATTACTACGGAATTCCTCACGGCGGGCGCGGTATTATCTCTCAATCCACTGATCACCAGGAAAAAAGTTGATACAACGTAGCGCCGAACGTTCCAAACATTTCGCGCCAAACATCAACAGTTATAGTGTAACAAACAAACCGCTAGACCATAACAATAAGCAGAACGCGCCCCTGAAACAACGCTCGTGCAAAAGCAAAACTATTAAAGCACTGCTTTTCATACCTCCTTCTTGGTCGGCTTGCAGGCAAGCGGGGATATTTTTCTTCCAGCCCGGCATTTCGGTGGCGTCGTGTGCATTCAGGGGCTAAATCTCAGGCGCATTTCACTGACGGCACAGGCGTGCATTTCCCCGCGCCTCGTCCCTTCTATTCACTGGCGACCGGTGTAATTGAACGCCGTGTCTCCCTCAGCCTCGTTGTGGAGCTGAGCTGGGGGTGTGAGCAGACACACGAACGTGAAGGTGCCCACTACAACCCACTACAATAAAGTCTTTCCCTTTCCTACCTTCCCCAAACCTAGAATTTTCTCATTATTTTGTCGCGTTAAAGCTTCACATTGCAGCCCTAGTAGGCTGCAAATGTAACCGTCACCCCACAACGCGTTTCTGTTGGTCTGTAGTCTAAATGAAGTGTAATTGTGTGCACTGGGGCTAATGGTCTATTCCACTGTTTTAAAAGTGTGTGTGTGGTCTTATTCATTCACATCTTAATGGGGTGGGTTGTTGATGTGGGTTTGAGGCAGTGTCAGAAATGAACTTGTTTATATTTGGAGACAATATTTGCCCCCTGGAATGGATTTTCTTTGCCTTTGTGAAGGTTTATTACTTTTCTAGTCACGTAAAACATAGTATGCTGTTCATTTAGGTCAAATGTTTCAACAGGATCAATTTAATGTAATACATTTTTCATCTGGACCATTAAGGCTGTTAATTATAAAATCAAATAAACAGCGAATGGGTCAATAACATTATTAAATTCATTTTTTGTCTGGATGTAGTATGCAATTCAAAAAAATACATTAAAATGCCATTCATAACATGACTTGATCTACTATGATGTTGCTTTCAGTTTCTGAATTAAAAGTCATTTTGATATGTGATAACTTAAAAAGAAAAAAATTGTCATTGGATATTCTTTTCTGAAATTCTTGAAAAATTTGTGTTGTTTTTGTAAAAGTAATTTTATTATTATGAAAAACATTTTGTTTTAAAATATTACCAATATTTGAAAACCTTCTGTCTGACATTTCAAAGTAAATGCCACTTGTTTTGACACAAGTGTTCAAGTGTTTGTATTCAAGATTCAAAGTATTTTAGTACTTTTTTACTTGATATTTTTACATTCAATAAATCAAAGTGTAGAAGTGGCACAAGAGTTATTCAAAAGTGTATTCTTATAACCCTCTGTAACTGTAAATGGTTCTGGATGGCTGTTCATTGCAAAGCATTATGTTCTCTTGCAGAAGTGTATAGCTTTAATGGAGTGCTTTTAGACAAGTGTTTAGTTTAACCTTACTTAAGTGTGTTTCATTCTAAACCCATGGCCAGATAGGCAAATACCACCACTAATGAATGATGTTCAGTAACATTAAATTCATTAAAGTGGCCTTTTTACACATTTTAAATATCTTTTTTCCATCACTCTTTATCCACCTGTGTGAACTAAAAAATTAGGAACATGATTTATATCTCAGTGTTTCCAGCATCTATTTGTAATTTATGAAAGCTGCATTAATCTTTCTACCAAACTGTTGTCCGTTGCATGCAGTAAGCATCAGCCCACCTTCAGTAATTGTGCAGCAGTTTACAGTTTCAACCTTTAACTATCTCCTGGTGAGTGGGTTTCGAGAGCCTATAATGTGCTGAACTCAAACTTTAATTAACCGTTTATTTCAGTGGGCTGGTAATTTAATTATATCTGCTTATGTAACATTTTCAGCCTCATAGAGGTTTTAGATGTTACTGGATTAAGGACTAAATATATGCACAGTAAAGAGAAAAACAAATACTTCAGTTAATGCAATCAGTTAAATATTTAGTTTTATATGAGTAAATATTCACATCTGATCCCAATCACATCTGCTGTTATTTTTAATTAAGTTCAACAGCACTAGATGAACAAACACTGGAAATACAATTATTAGTATTAGATTTTTACAAAAACAGTTGTATGAAAAACAATTTCCGGCATATTGTGCTTTTTTTTAGTTCTCTTTAGGGAGCACTCCTTGCATTTAACCCTACTGCCCTAAACAGCGAGTTGCTGTCTATGTTGGTGGTCTCCATTACCGCTGGCATAAAGCATCATGGCGCTTCATGCTTCTGCCAGCATGTACACATCTAATACACAGCCACTGAGAAAAAAGCATCCAGATAAATGTAGGTTAGGTGACGCTGCTTCTAAGTGGGCATTGTGACACATCATCATCGGCCTACTTTTTCTCAGACCCTGCTGTTTTTTTTATTCCTTATGTGTTCCCTCCCCCTTCTCATTACCTGTCCATCCATCCACCGGGGTGCCCTGGCGGCTTCATGCACGCCGGAGCGTAGACTACGGGGCAAGGCCAGTCTGTAATGAGTCGGGTCGGGCAGAGCTCATCCTCATTCTGAGTCCTTTCTTCCATTCTTCCTTTTATGCCATCCATCCATTCGTCCCTCGGGCTGCATACCGAGTAGCACATCATCCTCTGACATGATACAGCAGACAGGAAGTGGAAGGGGGAAGGGGGGTTAGCATGAGGGAATGCGATGCCCTTACTTAGTGGCTCCCAAGGCCTAATGGTTTTCACTGGTTGGTGTAGAGGTGAAGATGTTGAGAAGCAGGGCAGAAGTGAGGATGGTATTTTATTACAATTGGGAAGGATTCTACTTGGAGATTATATATTCAAGTGAAGGCCAAGCTTGATGTTCCTTATAGTTCCTATTAATATGTGTAGGTTTCTACTGTTGTTAAGCACATCGCACCAGAGGATGACTACTCAAGGCTGCATGTAAAATGCTGTTTTGTGACCCCAGTCTTTAAGGGGTGGTGAGGGGAGTCCAGAAAACTACATTTAGAGGTCTCGTCAAGGACGTTTTTTGTTTTCAGCACCTGTTTTTGCACTATATTTTCCAATACAGCACTTCAACATAAATGTAAGATTTTTTTTAGCTTACACTATAGGTTAGTGTTTGAACAAATGCCTCCTCAAGACAATAGAGAGTTAAGGAATTTCTGGATAAAAATGATGGTTTGCTTAGAGTTTTCACCTTGAGAGATTCATGCGCATCCAATGTTTAGATTGGTTAGTCATACCTAATCTGTTCCGTTAATGACGCATGATGCAAAATGTGGCACTTTTTGGGCCTTCATATGGTGGCTTTATAAAATTAATGAGGCGTAGCAGTTATTTGACTCATCCTATCTCTCATTACAAACCAGTTTTCATTATTGTATCGGACAAAACCCTAAAATTATTATCAAGGAATAGCAATTCAATAACACAGCAGTTCATAACAAAATACAGTTTTATGCATTGATTCTTAAACATTGCCATTTTATATTAGAATAGTAATAATGAGAAAGTCATAACTGCAAAGGGAATATCTGTTCTCTTTAGAAATAGCTTCATAATTGAACAGTGTTTCTCGTTCTTCAGAAGCACAGTGCTGACGACACGTCCTGAATAACGATTTCCAAAAAATGGCAAACATTTCACAGTTTTTCCATCATGGTCCAAACATTCCAGCTTTTACCTTCCAGGCAATTGAAATTGTCATCCACCTTGTCCATTATACGCTTTCATTTAACTGCAGAGGAAGACAGCAAAACAATTATTGTCATATTTTGATGGATATTAATGCAAAAATGTTTCTCAGAGACTTTAATGTGATGAATCACAGAGCGATGTTGCAGAGCTGCTACAAGAAGTGTGTATTTTAAATAAACTTTCGCTATTCAACCTGTCCACTGGAGAGACTTTAATGTGATGAATCACAGAGCGATGTTGCAGAGCTGCTACAACAAGTGTGTATTTTAAATAAACTTTCGCTATTCAACCTGTCCACTGTGGTTGTACATAATTGACCATGTTTAGCAATTATTAGAACACTCTGTAATTACCATGCAGTTGTTATGAAATAACAATCAGCAGGCATTGATCTTGACGTCTTGTCTAAGTATTGGCATGCTTGCATACCGAATGATGGACTGCCTCATTTGAAGGTGTAATCAAAAGACAAGCAGGCCGCCATTACTGCTCTTAACTGTCAATGTTAATAACAGTCATTCACCCAACTGTGATTCATGAGATGAACTTTCAGGCAGGACACACGGTTATACCCAACTTTAAATACACACCCAGCATGTCTTGAGTTGAATTCCCATTCACTCTCAGCAGCGTGCAAGGCCAGTGAAGCTCTCTGTACTGTACGTCTGTAGAGTTGAGCAGTCTAAAGAGAGGGGGCATAAATAAAGAATACAGGAAAGATGGTGAATGTACAGATGGGAAAAAAAGCGAATTTCTTTGCTCCTGAGGAGGTACCCGAGGGTCTGCCGAGGAAACTGAAATCGCAAATTCGCATGCAGGTCTTGCAGTAGAGACCGGCTCCCGCTGCTGCTGAGAAAGGCCAGGCTTCGCACCATGGCTGCCTGTGCACAATTTAATTCACGGCCCTGTGGCAGCTCTTTAAGTCTCACGGGGCAGTCAAAGGCAATATGATTTCTGCTTCAATCAGAGCGCTTTAGTGCCCATTACACTTCTTGTATGCATGGGCAAATAAAAATCCAGTGGCGGTGTACTTCCTCTTAGCAGCCAATAAGCTGCTGAGGGACAGATATTGAAAAGCCAAGATGAAGCCAAGGAGAAAATCAAGAGAAAGTGAAAAACAACTACTCAGGGAGAAATTAAGAACAAAATATTCAAAAGAAATTCAGCATCACCATGACTAGACAAGGCTATTGACTTTGTGTGACAGTCCTTGGAGTTTTTTATGAACAATATTGAAGCTCCTGGAAGACGTCCCTGCCTCATATACCATTTCTGCCTTAGTAGGAACAAAAGCAAAGAAGCTCGAGGTCCTCTGTCCTACAAACAGATTAATTCTTGTGGTTTCTGAAGCACTTTCTATCAAGGTGAAGCGTGATGTTGGGTTTTTTATAGCATAGACCCTTTCTAGTGGGCTAGCAAGAAGCTAATAATTGTCAATTATAACATTATATAAAAGAAATCCTAGAAAGGCATTAAAATACTGTCAAATTTTGTAATGAGAGAAGTTCTGTCAACATTGACATGTTCACAAAGATATATAAAATAGTCAGTACTATTTTCACACTTGTTTGGCACTGCTGGAGTGTAGAGAACAGTCCCTATGAGACCCACCGCTCTAGACAGTATAGTCACGCATCCTCTGCAGTGTCAGAAATGGCCGGCAATAATTTTGTCTTTATTTGCCTTCCCCATCTAAGGCTTGTCAAGTACCCTGATGTTCAATGTATCAAAATGACAACTAGCAGCAACTGCAAAACTTGAAGGCACAGTAGGGTTTTGTGCTGTGTTCTGCTGTAAGGCCTAGAAACGTCCAATGAAGAGTCAGCCGCTAATCCAAATGTATCATGACAACTCATGACATCATTGTGTGCTTCTGTACCTTTTAACCTCTGAAAGTTTTAAATGTACTGTCTGTGATGACTCAAAGTAATCTCCCCAAGGCCTTAAATCCATTAATGAATGCTCCATTATGAATCATGTTTGGTAGGATGAAATCACCTGAAAATGAAATTCTGTCATCATTTACTCACCCTCTTTTCGTTCCAAACTTGTATGGCTTCTTTTGTAAAGAAATTTTGTTAGGTCTTTTTCATGCAATTACTATGAAATGGGACTAACCTTAAAATAGGATGTAAAGACCCCTAAAAGCATTAGAAAATTCATAAGCCTCATCAGTCTTATGATAGCTTTGTGTGAAGAACAGACCAAAATCACAGAGTTACTGAGTTGAGAATGAAAAGTGGATCAGTTTAAGATACAAATCATTCTGACGGGTCTTGTGAACTGATTCATTTAAATAATCTAATTTAAAAGAATGATTCATACATTATTCTCATGAAATACTAGAATGGCTGTCAAGATTTTCAGCTAATTATTTAAATCAGCATTTTTTCAAGACTTAATGATTTAAGTCTGTTTGTCACACAAACCTATTGCATGACATGGAATATAGCGTTCAAGTCATATATACACTTTTTTGACGCTGATGTGATGGTGACATTTTGTCATTTTGGGGCTTGAAATCCCCAGTCCACATGCATTTGTATTATTTAAAAAAAGTGACCAGGATGTTCAATAACTCACCTCAAGTTATCATACGAATCATAAGTTCACAGAACTCCTTGCACAAAGAACACAAAGGCCCCAAGCATCTGAATCACTAGACGAGGAGATCAATAAATGTACCAGTACAACCTCTGAAAGACAGGAGACAAAGACCTGATGTTACGCAAGAACAGTGCAGCATTTCATTCACTGAATAAGCAATTGTTGAGAAAAAAAACATTATGTACTCAAACTGTCCTCATTCTCATCTCATTTTAATCAAGGCAACTATAAATTTCTTGATCAATTATCAATGCATTTATCATTTCTCTGTCTCATATATGGTTTTAAATGATTCTTTTTATTAATTAAACTTTGGAAAAACTCCTTGCCTTTTGATCTTCGTGGCTTCTTGATGCAAAAAAAATCTTTCAAATAAACTTATAAGTACCAGATAATTCAATAGCCTTTATTTACTGCTCAAACAAAAAACCCACAGCGCTCTTTGATATTCTTTACAGATGAATCCTTTGTGGATCTCTTATATGCTCTGTGTGACTTTGTGTGAGTATGTGATTGTTTTAGCAAACAAGGGATAGAGAGAGAGCACTTTTTAATAAGACAGTTGTTATGCAAGCACTACAAACATCAATTCTCAGAAGACCACCTGAATACAAAATGGTTGTTTCTGTCCCTGTGACAAAACAGTATTGGACAGTATTGTTCTTTAAAATAAGAAAAATGTTAAACAGTACAGTCACATATTGCTTTGATTCTTAGATATTTCATTGAGAATTTCTCTGCATTATTAAACTGGTTCATCTTAGTACAGAATGTCTTTCTGCCTCACAAACAGAATAAATATCCACTTCAACATATATTTCCAACTCAAATAGCTGTTAGCCAACAGAGACATTGCTATCAGTTTTAGAGACACTAAAGACCAAATTATGAAATAAAATATGATCACACGTGGCCTGCGGTCCTTACATTTCAAACCCAATTAAATCACCAGCTTTCGAAAACAGCTTTCTCCGAGGTCTTGCTGTCAACATTAAGGCTTCATTGGGTTCTTGTTTAATCAAATGTGAATTAGATTAAGCTCTTTAATTAGCTAAATGTGTTGAGAATAAGAGTGGGTTGGCCAAGAATGAGTCTAATTAGGCAAGGCCAAAATCTGCTGGAAAGAACATGACAATGTCAAGTGATGAATTACAGAGAACATGATTTTCTACCACCTCTGTTTACTGGATGACACTAAATTCATGGAGGTTTCTTAAATCAGGAAACATAAATTATTATACTACCCCATAAGGCCACGGGAGAGGATTTGTAAATAGTGAAGTGAAGCTGATAGGTCACGTGACAATGACAACATGGCGAATGTAGTATGTCCAGATTACATTCATACTACACAGATTCATACTATATAGAACATACTTTTTTAGCGGCCGCAAAGTAATTACTTATTTAGAATAAGTACCTACTCATGAGAGTATGCGATTTCGGACGCAGCCTAACACTTGATTTGTTCCCTTGATTCGTTCCTGAATGAACCAATGTTTTTGAACAAATAGTTTGAATGAATGATTCAATGTCTCAATCACAAAAACAGTCAATTACTGCCACCTACTGGCATAGCAATGTAACCTGCAGAAAGTGTCACTGACAAACACAACAAACAAGCAAGTCCCAGTGATATTGTACTCTTATATGACCACTCGACCATATGAAACGCTGCTTGACCAATTAGATCGGTGAACCAGAAATAACTTTTGCATGATTGTATTTATCCGACATAATAAATTCAGGAACGCCAATAAATGAGTGCCATTATTAGTTTTAGCCTTATTTTTTATAGCAACAGTGGAACAAATTTAAGTGTTGGGTAGGGAATAGGACCTGTTTCATCCACATAAGGACCACAGTTGGAGTTTTTGAATGTAGGGAACTAAATGTAATTAATAAAATACCCATATCAGTATAGAGCAAATCTGAATATTGGGAAGAACCTGTCTCCCTCCATGTCTATGGTTGTCTTGTCCCTGCATTGACCACTAAGCCATTGCCTCAAGGTTTAACTGAAAGTCACGTAAATTATATGGTAAACCCTTTCAGAATCAGTGTATATTTAGGTATCTTACCCTTGTTCAGGGGTCTGTACTTGTTGAAGATCGTTAATCGGTGACATGTATATGTTCACCATCAACCTGAGGTCTCGGAGCAGGTGGTGAGGTCAAAGAGGTTGTGCTGGAAGGTGCTTTATACCTTGCATTACATCCCCTTTGGGAGCCTTTGGGCTATTCCGTTGTGCTCTGTGTTTAAGGCATTGATTAATCAGAGAGCATGCCTGCAATGAGGCCACACACTCATACACCTATACACTTGCACTCGCTCCTTCGGGCTACCTCCCTTGAGGGCTCTGAGCTATTTCTCACTGTGAATCAGGAGGCAGAGAGAGAGGCCGTAAAGAGAGCAGCGGTGATGAAGAGCTAGATCAGACACTGTGATAGACAGACTCAAGGAGGATGATGGATGAGTGCAGAGACACTGTCTAAGAATACATGCGCACTCGCTCCTTCGGGCTACCTCCCTTGAGGGCTCTGAGCTATTTCTCGCTGTGAATCAGGAGGCAGAGAGAGAGGCCGTAAAGAGAGCAGCGGTGATGAAGAGCTAGATCAGACACTGTGATAGACAGACTCAAGGAGGATGATGGATGAGTGCAGAGACACTGTCTAAGAATACATGACCTTGTATAATTGCCCCTTGCATTTAATTTAGCTGCTGTTGACCAATCATAAACTGAGAGGCTCTTGACAAGTATGTGGTGATGGGTCAAACACTGAGGACATACGCCACATGTAGCGTCTGTAAAGGCTTTGTAAACGCTGTTGGAATGAGTATTTTAGGTCAGTGCCATATTTCAGTCTGATTAATGCTGCTGTAACAATGACTCTAATTAAGATAGTAATTCAGATGTGGATATAAAATACTTTGACTAAGCAGCTGTCGGAAGCAACATGGTGTCCATATTAAAAAGCAGAGTTTGAAGCTGTGAGTAATTTTACTTGAAACTGGAGAGGAAATATGAAGACAAACACTTCTGATGAGTCAATGTAGCACCGTGCGAATTGTCTCTCTCTCTTGCTGTGTCTCTTTGTCTCTGTCTGTCTTTCCTTAATCAAGTCAGCTGAGGTAAACAGTTTGATAAAGGTGAAGTGTGTAATAATGTGGATGTTACACATTCTCTTTAGCCCAGCTTAAATGAATAGTTAAACAAAAAAATGATGATGAAAATAACCACTTAAATTTCAGTTTCTTCCTCAATGTGAAATCACACACTTCACATTTAATAAAACAGAACAGGGGGTGATGAAATGAGCCATGTTGCTATTTCACAGTCATCCGTGTGCTTCTTTGAGATAGTGAGGATGAAGTAGAAGATCATGTTTGTATGTATAGGAGCCTGTAGTAATGAAGTGCTCTCCTGAGACTTTGCCTTGAGGCTCTTTATATTGAACAAATAACCTATTTTCTATTACCATGTATTCACAGCTGACATCCAATGTGGCCCATGAATTCCTTTTTTTTCTTCTTCAGGTTAATGCGTCTGTTACTTGACTAGCAATTTAAGTTGAGTGTTGGGCCAGGAAATTAATTTTAATTTTAATGTTAAGTGCAACAAGGGGTGGCCATTGCTTGAGTAGAACGCAATTACCTCAATTGAATAAATCATTAATGGTCCATAGATTGCAGTCCTTTCAAAACAAGAGGTAATTTGTAATTTCCAGATTGCATGTAGCAGAGAATTGGGGGGAAAGTTTGAGAAAGCAATTGAGAGCAGAAAAGGGGAGAGAGTTTATGCTGTAGGACAGAATGCTGGCTGACTTTTTAATATTGAAAATAAAAAGAAAGGACAATTACAACTTGATAATCGATTAAGGCTCCCCTGGGTTCATTGTAAACAGGTTCATCATTGAATTCCCTTTATGCCTTTTCAATCTTGTTGTCATTAAACTCCACAGAGCCATTGCTGCCTACATAATTAAATGATTTTTAAGACTCAAATTGCTATTAACCCACTTTTAGGGACATATTTTATCTAACCTTCATTTATTTATTAAAATCCATAATGAAATCACTTTTTTGTGTTTTTAGTCTATGTGTAGGTTTGATTGAACCTATTTGTAAAAGCATTGCTAGCAAATACAAATATTTAAAATGTAAAATTTTTGTTTCATGTGAAATCAGATTAAACTTTTTATGGCAAGTAATGCATTATGTTACTTTTGTGTTTCTTTTTGCCACCTGGGCTGGGCTTGATTATTTGTTTTTTTTAATAACAAAAAAACCTAAAAGTTATGTTTTTGGCAACTGTAAAGGTCCTTTCACACTAAAAGTGAAATTGATAAGCCTCAGCCTGAAGGACGTGCCTCTGCACCTCACTCCCATTTTCTCTCAACACAGGGACAGTCATGTGAAATCAGATTAAACTTTTTATGGTAATTAATGCATTATGTTACTTTTGTGTTTCTTTTGTCACCTGGGCTGGGCTTGATTATTTGTTTTTTTTTAATAACAAAAAAACCTAAAAGTTATGTTTTTGGCAACTGTAAAGGTCCTTTCACACTAAAAGTGAAATTGATAAGCCTCAGCCTGAAGGACGTGCCTCTGCACCTCACTCCCATTTTCTCTCAACACAGGGACAGGAGAGGTATCAGTGAATAAATGGGAAAACAAAGTAACTTACGTTACTAATTTGAAAAAGTAACTCAGAAATTTTGTCAAAAAATGTTACTCGAAAAAGTAATCTGATTACATAACTGTTACTTGTAATGGATTCACAGACAGCATCAACAGAGTGGATATTCCCTGTCCCAACTTCCTGTGTGAATAAGAAATACATCAACAGGGCTCTGTGCTTGTCAACATTTTTATGAAGTCTTCAGCATGCATGAAAAAGTCACATATTCATCAACGTATTTGCTTTTTGTAATCCATTTTATGTCACAATAGAAACTTTTTACGCACAGACTTGGAAATAAGGCCACAACAGTCTTTTCTTCCCCTTGCCCCTGTTTTGCTAGAAGCATCTGAGCGTTAATGCCCACAGAAAGAGGCATGCCAGAGCTATGGGCATGCTTTTCTGCTTCCATCACACATCAGTGCCTATATGAGGTAACATAATTGGGACATAATTTCCTGAAAAAGCCTTGGATAATCTTAGGCAATAGCATAAAGATTTATTTCAGTGCAAGGAGATGTTTCTCCACAATGGCAGGAGGTCTCTCTCTATCATTTCAGTTCAATGTCTTTCCAAAACACACACAAACACACATGCTCATGCTCCCGCTCTCATGACACCTACTGGAGCCTTGTCCCACTGCAACAGAGATCAATCAAAAGGCAGTTTGAATTCCGTACATACTCCAAAAAATTATATCTTATAATTCTTAAAGAAAACTAACAACAAATTCAACATCTCGATATGACAGGTTTCTCATAGAATTCAGTTTTCTGCATAGTAATTATGTATCACTGACATGTTTAAAATCTCAATATAGTGTGCTATTTAAAAGAAATGAAAAAGAAATTCACTCACTTAATGAGTCCTGAATGAAATTGCTTTATTTCGCCTATCATCTGTGCTTTTGCATGCAGACACACACTTTCTATCTTCTTTTTATTTCCTTTCTATGCCTTTGCCACCTGGTGTCGATCCAAGAGCCATTTTCCACACAGCTGTTGAGGGTATTCTGAGAAATCATAACTGATTTCATGGTAAATTGATTTGATGTTGTGCTTCAAAATAAACTGACGGATTGACAAGCATGAAATCAAAGCCAGATATTTATATATAATTTTCCTTTAGTCAGTGAAAATGTATATCATTACATTTACATTACACACAATAACTATTTCTACTGCTTTTTTATCTTCAGTTATTCTATGATTCATATATTTGCATGCATATGGAGGCGCAAGGGTGCATTTCACTGCATGACCGCGCTCTGCACCGCCAACAGTGCGAGGACTGTAATCCTAATTATACTTGACCTGTCTCCTACTGAGTCAAAAACAATGTGTAGTGCATCTACGGCTGGACGATATGGCCAAAATTGATATCACGGTATATTTCTTAATTTCGGTCGATACGATATAATTCCGATATCGATATGAACACTATTTATCTGAAATAGAAATCTTTTGTAACATTATAAATGCCTTTATCATCACTTTTGATACATTTTAAGCATCCTTGCTAAATAAAAGTATTAACTTCTATAATTTCTTTCCCAAAAAATCGCGATACATATTGATATTGAATTATTGTCCAGCCCTAAGTGCATCTAACCATACCATATATCGATCTCAGAGACAAATTAAGAAAGACATTGTAATGCTGAATGCATATTTTGGGACTGTAAGAGTGGGTCAGACAATGCTGAAAAGCAGTCTTCTGCAAAGACATCATGCAAATACACAAAATGCATCACAGAAAAACACATAATGTATCTCTGTAACATTCAGCCCCTTATAATCCAAGAACCACTAATCTAAGAAATTAAAGAATGTCTTGTAAGTGTTAAATTCACATTAGGGTCCAAAGGCAAAAGTCTTTTTTGCATAAAAAAGGCATAAGATTTGCTTTACCCCTCTGTTTTGGTATAATAATAACAGATGTGATCTCAGATTTTTGGATCACTGTAAAAAAATATGCATTTATATGTTATAGAAAAGACATAAAACACACAACAACAAAAAAACTAGAAAAAAAATAAATAAAATAAAGTGGAAAGAAGAATATTGCATGGGACAAAATGATGACAATTGCATAAATATATTCCTTCCTATTTCACTGTCTTACTAAAAGCATTTCAGAGCAGAAAACGAGGGAGGTGTGCTTACATTCCTCTTTGGGACTAGGGTAGGCTTTGAACAGTGACTCTGAATGAAGACATACATTGAAGGACAGGATGAATGTATCATAGAGGGTACACCTAACACTCGGTCCAGAAGTCAAACCTGTCTTAGGGAGTACAGAGTAAAGGATAATTGCTAGTGATTTCCCTCTTCTCTCTCTCTCTCTCTCTCTCATTTCATGTGTCACTATAGAGGTAGACAATATCATTTGAAAGCTTTTTGGAGTACCTAGTTATCAAGTGACCTCTCATTACTGATCCAAATAGTCAAGGATGGATCTGATTTCAATATAGTTTCCATATTGACTGTTATAAAAACTAACAAACAAACAACAACAACAACAACAACTGAATTTTAATGAAAAAGTGTTGTTTAATAAAAACATACTATAATGTTAGATAAAATACTGAAATTGTTTAGATCTCTGCATTTATATAAAGATACTGTATTGTTAGATAAAATAAAAGGCAATTGTTTTATATATATATCTCCAGTCAACAAATGTACAAATGTACCATATAATATAACTTGCGACCCTTCACAAACAAAGCAAACATTTGGCCAACAAGTTATATTAATTGTTGACTTTCTAATCTATATATTTACCCACTAACCTACAGAATTCTGGGACAGATAACAGCACATGTATGATTAATTTTGAGCACAAAACAATAAAGGGTTGTGTTAAATGATTTGTGTACAATCAAATAATATTTATAAGAACACCTTTACCTGTCATTACCACGAAAATGATGCCCAAAAGATGGAGTTCTCATGCTATCCAAGTAGGCAGCTCACAAGGTTTTGAAACACAGCCCCATTCTCACCCTGTCTTCTCACAGACAGCAGCGCCTGTGGATGCCAACCGCCGTTAAACTGGAAAGAAGAAGAAGAAGAAGAAGAAGAAGAAGAAGAAGACAGCAGCGCCTTTCTAGTCTGAGCTCCTCCCTCCTGTAGAAGCCGAGCCGAGCAGCACCTCCATTCAAACCCATCCAAACTCAAGGCATGAGAGTCTGCTCTTCCCCGCACAGCTGCTGCTGATCACCTACCTGCACAACAAACTCTGGATATTCGTCTTGTAATTTACAACCCCCTCAAACCTCCAAAAAGAGGCCAACTAAATCATTCTGGCCCTAAACTTACACACAAGTGGTTTTCCAGACTGCAAACATGGCGAGTGCCTCTTACCACATCTCTAACCTTTTGGAGAAAATGACATCCAGCGACAAGGATTTCAGGTCAGTCGTAGTGCAGATGCCTAGATAGAGTGTTAAGGAGTATGCATGTGTATTTATGGGGCTTGTAATGAGGTTTAAATGTCTTAATAAATAACGAATCGATCGCAGAAAGTTTTAGGCCGCGAATAGCGCGACTGTTGTTTAGATATAGCTGCTTAGCTTAGCATGTCAAACTCGTACTATGCGGGGCTCCATTTTTTATTTTTGTAGTTTGAAATTGTGCATGGGTAATATATTTATGGCTACAATTGACTATTTGAATTGTTAATTTGACATTGCTTGCTGGAACTGATGCTGTCAAAAAGTGTGGGTTTTAGTATGGATGGTAGCCAGCTATCCGCTAGTATTAGCCGATTAGCTTTAGCATTTCGTTTTGATGGCACTCCACACAAACTGTCATATCATTCGTAACGAGTAAGTTACAATAATTTACACCAAACCATGGGCGGAATGTCCAGAGAGTTGTAAAGTCAGTCCAATATGTCGTAATTGATGTGATTTATTCCCCTCGGGTTCATATAAGTCGGCTAATGTTAGCATAAGTGCACGTCCATGATATGTGCAAGGAATTAAACTACATACGCTACTTTTTGGAGAAGTTTGTACGATGTGAATTGCAGATCTTGAATTTAGGGGTTATTCTTTTTATTACGATCTCTGGATTCAGTGTTTCAGAAAACCTTCTCATTTTTACATTTGCGTACTGACATGTAGACTGACATAAATGCAGTGGTTGACTCTTGTCTTTGATAAGTCAGACTGTGTTAAATGATTTGTTTCAAATGATTACATTTGAAGAAGAAATTCTTTTTAAAAATGAATAATGATAGATAGTTTACTTAAATGCAATATCAATAAGCAAATCTTGCATGATAGTTACTTGTAGACTTTGTTCTGAGATTACTTGCCTGGTCAGAAATGCTGTCAAGGCCAGAAGCATGTAAATATGTTGATAACAGTTAAAAAGCATAATGATTATCAGGAAGTTTAATACAGTTACGATTAGGTCTATACAGTTACAATTTGTATTTTAGGCTGTCTTGCTGTTGGGGGATTCCCTTTTAATGATGTCAGTATATTCAGCAGTGACCACCAGGAGGTTAATGGTTTGTGAGTTTTATACATATCTGACAGGCCTTCTCAAATGAATTCTAATGCAGTCAGTCATCATATCATATTCCCAGAATCGTTCCTGCCTGTCATCTCCATCAAACCGTTTGCTGTTCTCATTCCAGCTCTTTCTGAATTTCACAAGATTTCACCCCCTGGGAACATTTTGCTTACACACCATTCTAGGTCTCCACTGCTGGTGTGTGCTGGCGTTCCCTCTCTCACCCTGCTGTTGGAGCGTGTGCGTCTCATGCATTATTCATTCTTTCTTAGGCTCTTGCTGGAATAAGAGATTCCATGCCATCAAATATATGCCAAAGCAGAAGCACTTAGGTCTGTATGTGTGTGTGTGTTTGTGTGAGAGAGAGAGAGAAAGAGAGATGGCATGTAATAGGGTATGCAGAAGGTTTTCACTCACATCACATGAGGTTCAATGCTGAGGCTTTGATGTTGGCACCCAAAGACAAGATTTCATTTTAATCCACTCCAGTTTCAGCTTAGAAGTGGATTATAAATTTAGCAAACCATGACAAGTGAGATGAAAAGGTGAAAATGCTTCAGTCAGCCCATTTGTTTTGAGACAATGCCAGCAGCCTCACCATACAGGTTGGTCTCACTTTACGGCCATGTGGGTGACTTTACATTAACCATTCTGTTAGTGCTGAAGTCAAATGAAACCCTCTAAGTGTGTCAGTGTGTCTGGACAATTGGGAACCCCTCTGGGGGAAAAAAACCTTGCAACTGCTAGTCATTGCTTGTGTAAAATGTTGGTTTTTATGAGTGAAACGGGATATGCAATGGAAGAAAATGTTGATGATTGATTTTTATCTATTGGCAATTGGTTGGATAATGAAAACACGTCTTTTTATGACGTTGTTGGATGGTAGGGATTGGTCACAAGTTATTAAATTTTGGTAGAAGAAACGTCTTTTTCTTCATAATAAAATGAACTGATAAGTCATTCACAATAAGTTTTTGTTTATTCCCTCAGATTCATGGCCACCAATGATTTGATGTCCGAATTGCAGAAGGATTCGATAAAGCTGGATGATGATAGTGAACGGAAGGTGGTCAAAATGATCTTAAAACTCCTGGAGGACAAGAATGGAGAAGTTCAGAATCTGGCTGTAAAATGGTAAGAATTTTGCCATTGTTGATTTGTTTCTGTGATTGCATGAACTTGAAAGTTTCTCTTAGTTCGATATTTTCAGCGTGTCCTTCATGAATTGGCTTCAGTTTGTCCTCTGAAAATGTTTTAATGTGAAATTGATTCATGCCACAGTGATTTAGTGAGAGGTATTGCTGTCTTTTACTTTGATTTATCTCTGTTATTAGCCTCTAAGATGATTTTTTCCCTAGATATTTTTGAAGGGATTGCATGAATAAGTCAGTAATCTCTCTTCATTTCATTCTGTTTTTTTCTGATGAAAAACAGGTTCGCTTATAGCGACTCTTTTTAAACCTTATGGAAGATAAAGCCATCTTGTAAATGGATTAACACTGAATGCTAAACAGAAATAACTTGCAATGTACCATTTTGTAGCAGTAAAAGTAGACGTTTTATGCAAGCAGTAGACAAATAGGAAGCATTTCAGAGGTTGTACTAAAAGTCCTTATTTCTTGCAGTTTGGGCCCACTTGTCAGCAAAGTGAAGGAGTACCAGGTCGAAACCATTGTTGATACATTGTGTACAAACATGTTATCAGATAAGGAGCAGCTTCGTGATATTTCCAGCATTGGCCTCAAGACGGTGATTGGAGAGCTCCCGCCAGCGTCCAGCGGTAAAACAACATGTTTTCTCTGTGTAACCTTATTAATGCAATCGTTTCCAGAGTTGTCCGACAAACATTTTTTTTCCCCCTCTATCATGTGCTAAAAAGACAGAATTCATTCACATGTGTTTGGCTATATTTAGTAGGGCTGTGTATCACCAGCAAAGTCACGATACGATACAGAGGCCACGATACGATGCGTATCACGATACGGGACTGTATTGAATTTCACCTCAGAAGAGTTTAGTAAAACAGCTGTTTATTAAACACTGCATACTATAGTGCCATTTCTAACTATTGGCAGAGCAGGCAGTTGACCTCTGCATTATGAAGGGCCTCCATAACTGTACCACAGTACAATATAGGTAATGGCATATGTTTCATGTTTACATTGGGCACTTCTAATATATTTAAAAATCATATTTACATTGCTGGTAGGTTATCATTGCACAAATTAACACTCTCTACGTTTAAAAAACGAAAAATTAGAAGAGTTCTAAACTAATGCGCTGTCTTCACTGTATCTAGCGCACACACGCTCAGTCACTCACACAGATCACGTTGCCGCACTCAGACATTCAAGAACAAACTTTTTAGCGCTGCCCCACAATTTTATCAACTAAATAGCTTAATCGCTCAAGAGCTACATTATCTTTCTCAACTGACGATACATCATCGTATCGATGTATCGAACACAGTACTAATATTTAGTTGTTTTCCTTCACCAGCTTGCCTGCTAAGTCCATTTCTCTATGGTTTAGGCTCTGCTCTTGCTGCTAGCGTTTGCAAAAAGATTACAGGCCGCCTCACAAGTGCCATTGCCAAGCAGGAGGACGTCTCAGTTCAGCTGGAAGCATTGGACATCATGGCAGACATGCTGTGCAGGTATGTCAGACGAGCCATGTGATGACTGCTGCTTTTGTTTAGATCAATTGTGCTTTTGAGTGCACATGGGTTCCTGCCAGGTAATTTCTGGATGTGTTTGTGCACATGCAATCTCCCCTCTGTGACCGTTCTCAGTTCACTGAGCAGAATATTGTTGTAAATCTTTCGGTTTAGAGGCCGACTCTCATCTCTGTTGTATGGTAACTAATGGCAGACTTTGAATTTGTCTTGAGTGATTGCATTTTTCATTTATATTTACATTCATGCATTAGGAAGAAGCTTTTATCCTGCTTGTGTGTTCCTTGGGAAATTGAATACACAAGCGTGCCATTGCTGAGGTCCTAAACTACCAATTAAAATGCATCGTGGGATAAAATGTGCACTTTTTTTATAATGTAAATAAAAGAAATTTGCTCTATATGTTATATGCTTTAGAAATAGTAAGAGTATTATTTTAGTATTCCATATTTCCTGTCTAATAAAGAGGCAAAATTTGTGGTCATTATGTGGTCTTTGCAACAAATTCTTCCTCTTTTTCTTACTTTGTTTGTGTTCATTCATCCAGACAAGGTGGCCTCTTAGTGAATTTCCATCCTTCCATTCTGAGCTGTCTGCTGCCTCAATTGACAAGCCCTCGCCTGGCAGTGAGAAAGAGGACCATCATAGCCCTGGGACATCTGGTCATGAGCTGTGGAAACCTGGTCTTTGTGGACCTCATCGAGCACTTACTATCCGAGCTCTCACGCAACGAATCTATGTCAACCACGCGCACTTACATCCAGTGTA